CTGAAAATAAACTTTTGGATAAATTCTGTATCAATTTTAATTTGTAATTCTAACACAAACTGTCTGTGTACTGGGGTTGAATAACATTGTTGTAGTTTTCATCGGTTGAAATAGATCTTCCCCCGCCCCATATGAGGTAATTTGTAATTTTGTTGTGTAATACTATTTATTTGCTCTGTAATAATAAATTGAGCTCTTTTTGTGGATCAGTTTTAATATTTCATATTACTAGGATCCTCTTGGATTATATATATATTTATGGATTTATTGCCTTTATATATATATATATATATATATATATATATATATATATAAAAAGATTTTGTTATATTCAGCCTATCACACCAGAGGTTTCATAGATGAACCTTTGTGTAATCATTCTGTCCTCTCCTCAGGAGATATCATCAGTTGTCTATTGATTTTCTCATATTTGTCCTTTTTATATTAAGTGAAAAAAAATAATTTATGCATTATTTTATTGATGTTAGGTTCATATTTTCTTCTTTTTTTTTTGTCTGTGTGTATGTATGTGTGTACATGCATCTCTATGTGTGAATATGTTCACATATATATTATCATGGTGGGTATATTTTTCCTTTAATAAGATTTCTTGAATATTCAGATCAGAAGATGAAGTACTATTTAAAATAAATGAGGTGTCTACTCAAATGTGGATATCCACTAAAAATAACATTTAAATCAAATATAAAAAAAACCTAAAACGTATGAAAATCAAACCTACCTGATTTTCACCTTTCAAAATCGTTTATGATTTTTTGACTAATCAATGATGATCCTCAATTGAAAAAACCTATGTAGGAATATGGCATATTTTTAAAGCAGTTAGAATTTTAAATACTTAGTGTCTTGATTTAGTTTGTTTAGTTATTTTTTTGAAACTTGTGTTGGAATTTTTTTTTTTATTCTGGTTTAATGTTTTATTTATATCAATTACATGTTCTTAGTTCTTTCTTTTTATTCCTTATTTTTTTTGGGTATTGGTTTGTTCATTTACAAGCCAAAACAATATAAGGTTTTTCCAGACGAGTATAACTGCTTATATATATATATATATATATATATATATATATATATATATATATATATATATATATATATATATATGGGACCTCAGTTTATGACTTTTTGACTGAAGGCTTTTTGTGGCCCAAATGGTTTGTAAATCTTTCTCCATAGGAATCACTGTAAAATGGATTAATCCATTCTTGGACCCCAGATGATTGCTTATTTAAATTTTTTACAACAGTATTTTGTGCATGCATTCATACACAAGACCATTGTTGTTGAAAATGTTTATGCTGTGGCTTGCTATTCATTTATCAGTGGTATCGTTCTGTGAAACTTTACACCTCACGCCATTTTGCACAAATTTCATAGATCACAAAAAAATAGGAACATCCTTCCCTTCCAGTCTTTTCTTCTGAAGACATTTGCTCCACAATCAACTTTTACTGCTGCTGTTGTTGTTCCTGTTCTTCCACAAAAAACATTTTCGTGTTTATTTATAACTAGCCCGGCATTGCCCAGGGATGTAACAGTAAGAGATAGATCAAGTATAGACCTTCATAAAGACTGAAAAATAAAATTGACAAAGATTATTGTTTAAGGTTGACAGACATGCATGTCTTAATTAGTTTTTTTTACAAATTGGTCAAACCCAAACTCAAACAAAAACATTGTTTTCAATCATTATGAGTCTATCGACTGAATAGAATTTTATTATAAACAATTGTCTTGTAAATGGAATTTTTAAAGCATTCTGAATGTAAAAATAAAAGAAAAAAGTGTTAAAACAATATGAAACACTACCTGCCAAAAAAAAATATAACTTATTTTGTTATAATCGGTTGAAAATGGTAGGAAATCAATCCCATATATAAAAGGAACACACACACACACACACACACACACACACACACACACACACACACACAAACAACCTGGGTTTTTATAATAAAAAATAACTTCGATATGAGTTGTCCCCCTTTCATCATTTTTAATGCCTCTTAATCGTATTTTCAAATTGATCTCGTGCAAAAAAATTGTGTTTTTCCAATTTTTTTGAGACATCAGAACCACCGAAAGGTAATTTTAATTTTTTTTCTGTGAAGTTTTTTGTTGAAATCGGTTTAAAAAATGTTGGAAGTCTGATTCAATATATAAACGTACAGACACACACACACACACACACACACACACACAACGACCTGGGTTTTATAATAAGTATGATTTCGTTCTTAACCTCTTATCATGATTCAGGTCATTTTTCTTTTCACTTTGCTTCTATCATTATTCTTTTGCCCCTATTTGCAGCCTTATTTAATAATTGTTTCAATGTGATATGGCTGTAAGCCACAATATAAAAATGGATTAATCTGCTTCTTAACCCTCAATTGATTGCTTATTTAAACTTTGACAACACTACTGTGTGTACACGTTCATACACAATAAAGTTAATAAAAATCATTAAATCAGACAATAAAATATAAATGAAATACTGTCACTCCTCTTGCAATATCGGTTTCTTTGATCAGCTGTATTTTTTTTAGAATAGTACAGATTGTTGATTTTGGCATACCAAACTGATTAGCAAGATAAGAGACATAAACACCATTTTCATGTTTGTTTAGGATTTCTTTTTTCACCTCTTATG